GTCCCCCTGTGCTGGGTGGGCACTGCTGGGGCCACCTCAAATCCTCTGTCCAGTTCTGGGCCTGTCGATTTGGGAAGGACCTTGAGGGGCTGGAGCATGTCCAGGGCAGGGAACGGAGCTGGGGAAGGGGCTGGAGCCCCAGGAGAGGCTGAGGGAGCTGGGAAGGGGCTCAGCCTGGAGAAAAGGAGGCTCAGGGGGGACCTTGTGGCTCTGCACAGCTCCTGACAGGAGGGGACAGCCGGGGGGTCGGGCTGTGATCCAGGGAACAGGGCCAGGAGGAGAGGGAACGGCTCAGGCTGGGCCAGGGCAGGCTCAGGGTGGACACCAGCAGGAATTTCCCCATGGAAAGGGTGCTCAGGTACTGGAACTGCCCAGGGAGCTTTGGAGTGCCCATCCAGAAGGACTGGAGGTGGCACTGAGTGCTCTGGCTGGGAACAAGGTGGGGATTTGGGACAGGTTGGATTTGATGGTCTGGGAGGTCTTTTCCAACCTCAGTGATCCTGGGATTCTATGATTAGAACTCTGCTTAAAAGCTCCTCCTTTTGTCCCAGGAAGCTGATGGTCTCTGGGGACAGGTTCTGGACCTCTCTCTTGCTGTTCTGCCCTCATAAGCAGGGCTGGCAGCAAAATCAGCATGGGAGGGCTGGTGCCAGCCTGGTGGCACTGTGGCACCTCGCTGGGAATGGGGACAGTGAAGTGCTCAAAGCAGCAGCAGGGCACAGGGACCAGCAGGATAAAGGCTTCCAAGGGAGGAGGACACAGTGGGGAAACCTTCTTTGGCTCCTGTCCCACTGCTCAGTCTCTGCACTGGAAGTTCTTCCTCATGTCCAGGTGGAACTTTCTGGGATCAGTTCCTGCCCATTCCTCCTGTCCTATTGCTGGGCCCTGGAGCAGAACCTGGGCCCTGCTCTGAGCTCTCCCTGCACACAGGACTGGGGTCTGGCCTTGGTAAAACCTTGGGGAAAAAACCCCAAAGTAAAGGGGAAGTGCAGCGTTTCTCCCTGTGCAGGGAGATGGATGGAAACTCTGCTCTCCTGGAGCTCAGCACAGCAGCTGCTGCTGGATTCTGTCCTGGCTTGGATGCAGGTGGAAACTTCTCCCCCTTGGCTCACCTGGTGCCTCGTCACTCTGCAGCTCCTGGTGCCAAGTGCTTTGTTAAAGTCAGGTTCAGAGCGTGGCTGCACACAGGTTTTGTAGATGTGTGCCAGATCCTGTCCCCAGGCTGCTGTCCTTCAGTGTGGATCATCTGCTGTGCTGTTATCCCAGGGAAACTGAGGCAAAGCTGCTTCCCTCTCATCTCCTCTCCCAGCCGTGGCAGCTGCAGTTTAAAGAGCTGCTGCCTGACGGACACAGAGCTTCCTGGCAGCTCCGATGTTTGAGCAGAACTGACTTTAGTGGTCACCAGGCTGGGGAAGGGATTTGCACCCTCACAGGGAAGAGTTTCTTCCCAATCTCCAATCTAATTCTGCCATCCCTCAGCCATTCCCTCTTGTCCTATTTATACACAGTCCCTCTAAAAGTCCCTTAAAAATCTCTTGTGGGTGTCACTGTCCTCCCCCAGCTGTGATCACCCAAAGGGTCTCCAAAAGGTGCAGGTCAGGAGGTGACCTGGTCCAAAAGGTGTGTCCTGAGGGGCTGCTAAGTGAGGGAGGGTCTCTGATGGGCTCCTCTTGCAGCCCTGGGCATGAGCAGGGAGGGTTTTTGGGAAGGAAACTGTGCTGGACAGGAAACTGCTTCTCACTGAGTACAGGAGGGACCTCAGTAAATGTACAAAGGACTCTGCAGAGTGTCCCCAGCCTGCTGCAGCGCTGCCTCTCTGGGAGACACTGTCACCAGCAGTGTCCTGCTGGCATTCCCAGCCTCCGTTCACTCCCGTGCCCCCTCTTGGATGGAGCCCTGGCTCTGTGCAGCTGCTCTCCCCCCTCGGGCTCTCTGCTGTCACCTTCACACATAAAACATCTCCCTGAGCCCAGATCCTCGCTCCTGGTGGCCCTGTCAAGGGAGCTTCAGGGAGACATAAAAATCCCCGTGTAAATCTCTGGCCTCTCATCCCTGCTAATTTCCCTGTGCCTCCAGAGAGCAGCTCTGCTGCTGTGCCTGCCCTGCCAGGGGATGACATTTGGCTCAGGCTAAATGGCTCTGCCAGGCTTCATCAGCCACCCCTGCCCTGTCCCCGGGGCAGCTTGGACACTCCAGGGTGCCCAGGGTGGAACCAGCCTGTGCCTGGTCCCTTCTCCCATGCCCAGCCCCTGCTCCCATGCCCAGTCCCTACTCCCGTGCCCAGCCCCTGCTCCCATGCCCATTCCCTCCTCCCGTGCCCAGTCCCTCCTCCCGTGCCCATTCCCTTCTCCCGTGCCCAGTCTCTCATGTGTGGTACAAACCCCGAGGTTTCCTCTGCTCCTTCTCCTCCCTGCCAGGATGGATTCTCTGGGGAAGGGAGGGAAGGGGATCCCTGTGCCATGTCCAGTCTTTCCCTAAACACCTCCAGGGATGGGCACTCCAATGTTTAATCACCCTTTCCATGGGGAAATTCCTGCTGGTGCCCACCCTGAGGCCGTTCCCTCTCCTCCTGTCCCTGTTCCCTGGAGCACAGCCCAACACCCCTCACTGTCCCCTCCTGTCAGGAGCTGTGCAGAGCCACAAGGTCCCCCCTGAGCCTCCTTTTCTCCAGGCTGAGCCCCTTCCCAGCTCCCTCAGCCTCTCCTGGTGCTCCAGCCCCTTCCCAGCTCCATTCCCTGCCCTGAACATGCTCCAGTTCTTCCTTTGTGGGGCCCAGAACTGGACACAGGCACAGGGGTACAGTGATGTTCTGCAGTCTCCAAAGAGGTTTTATAGAGATGGCTCCAGTTTGGATGAACAAAGAACATTTCAGGGGGTTCTGTATCCCATCTGACAGGGATCCCTTGCCCTGGTAGCTCTGGGGTTGGTGAGAAGGGTCCCTGCCACCCCCAGCTCATTGATTTCTGTGGAGTTCAGCCCCTCCTGAGCCTGGCTCAGGAAGCTGCTCTGTGCCCTAAAGCCTGCCACAGCCACGGTGCCCATGGGAGAGGGGTCCCCTGGAATGGGCAGAGGGCTCAGAACCTGCTCCATCATCCCAGAGAGACCTGGGCAGGATGGAGCATGGGGAGCAGCCCAGCTGGGCTCCGAGTGCCCAGGGAGGGAGGAGATCCCAGCAGGGATGTGTTTGAGGGCCTGGGAAGCTGCAGGAACAGGGGCTGGAGGGAGGAGCAGCCCAGGGGAGTGAATGCTCTGCGGGTGTCCCCACTGGTTTTGCAGTCCTTGTGGCAGCCCTCAGGCACATGGTGACCTTGGGAGCATGTGACAGGTTTGCAGCCAGGTTGCTGTGTGTGGTGGAGATGCTGAGCTGGGCTTTGAGCTGGATTCTCTGTGCTCTGGCAGGGAGGAGCAGCAGTGCTGCCAGGCCAGGGCTGGGATGCAGCCAGCCCACTATTCCTGACAATTGACCCTTTCCTGAGGAGCTGCTGCTTTTAGTCCTTCCCAGGCACAAGCTTTGCTCAGCAGCTTCTCTGCTCAGTGGGGACAGCAGACCTTGCAGGGCAGCTCATCAAAATGACGTATACATGGGAAAAAACCCCAAACACCTCCTTTCTGAGAGCAGATCTGCAGTGCTGGTGTCCCTGAGGCCTCTGGAGGGATCAGCACTTACAGCTGTCCCCAGGGAGAACTCCTCCATGTTAATTGAAGTTTCTGTGTCAGCTTCTCACAGTGGAAGCTGCAGGGGCAGAGCAGCGATTGCAGATCACCTCCTCTGGCCCCCAAGGTCATCTCTCTGTGTGCTGGTTTAAGTGTGAGTATGTATTTAGTAATTATTCCTCTCCTTAATTGACTGCTTGTGCTGGGGCAGGCAGCTGGTAACTCAGTGGCTGAATTTCTGGGAGTGCTGTCCATGTTCCCTGGAGGCACCAGGAGCTCTTCCAGTGGCGGAGGCTGGGGCTGTGGGGGCAGAGCTGGGGCTGAGCTGAGCCTTTTCCCACACTGGTTGTGTCTGCTGCCAGCACAGTCACTGAGAGGCTGATATCCACGTTCAGCCTGGAGGGGAGAAGGCTCCAGGGAGACCTTGGAGCACTTTCCAGTGCCTAAAGGGGCTCCTGTATTAGGGGAAGGTGAAGAGAGGGGGCTGGACAGGACTTGGGACAAGGGTCAGTGCTGCTCTCCTCCAGCACTGCTCTGACTCCTCTCCAGAGCTGCAGGAGCTGCTCAGTGCCAGGTTCTGCCATCCTGGCCGTGGCTCTGCCCACCTCACCTCCCCTCTCTGCTCCACTCTGCTCCTTCCTGGCTGATGGGAAAGCTTTTCTCTGTGTTTTCTCAGCAGCAGCTTTGCCTTCACTCTGTTGCAGCCAGGAGAGAACAGAAAAATCCCAGCTTTTTATGCAGCTCCATCATTCAGCTGATGGCTGCAGAGGAGCTGGAGATCCTGAAACCTCCAGAAGTGCAAAGCTGTGGGATTCACATTCTCTGAACCTGAGAGGAGCAGTGAGAGAAGCAGAGAAAAGAATGATCAAAACAATTCTTATCTCATTTGCTGCTCCTGTGTTGTGCCACAGTAGAATGCAATATACAGATGGTTTACCCAAAGTGATGGGGTTTTGTTTCTTTGGCCTATCAGGGCCAAGCACTGTCAGTCAGCAGACAGTCATGGGACTCTGGGCAGTTAAGTGCTTGTGCAGATTCAGTTCAGATTAATGTAATATAGCATAACAGAATATAAAATAATATGGTATATTTATAATATAAATATTATATAAAATGTATAAAATTATATAATTATATAAAATTATAATATAATATATTTATAATAAAATAATGTAATAATTTATAATATAATATAAAATAGTATAATTAGCCTTCTGATATCCATGGAGTCCTCAACATTTCCTGCCTTCCTCGGGCTTGCCCTGATTTCTGGCACAAAGCTGTGTCTGCCTGGAGCCCAGGTGGCCCTGTGGCCATTAACCCCCTGTCCTTGGCTTGCCTTGCAGGTGCTGAAGGGCTGCAAGAAGCTGAACCTGTCGGTGCACTCGGTGGGGCGCATCCCGGGGGGTTATGTCACCAACCACATCTACACCTGGGTGGACCCCCAGGGCCGCAGCGTGTCCCCCCCCACGGGGCTGCCCCACCACCAGAACAGCTCCCTGCGCAGGGACAGCGAGAAGAGGAGCCACCTGCAGCTCCTGCAGGAGGGGGATGAGAAGAAGGTGAGCAAAGGGGGATCAGACACAGCCCTGGGGCCTCTTCCCATGCAGGTGCCAGCCCTCTTTGTCCCCCTGGGATTGTCACCTGGGTCATTCTCCACTGGGCTGGCTCTCCTCTAGCAGCCTGGTTTTCTCCCTTGGGTGTAGCTTTGCCCCCAGGAGCTCTGGAGGATGGGATGGGGTGGCTTTGTTCCTGTTTGGCACAGGGAGAAGCTGGGCTGGAGGGGAGGGATTGCCCAGTCTGGGCTGGCAGGGAAGGTCCTGCCAGGAACAGCCACCAAAACATGAGTGGGGTTTAAGGCTTTTCCCAGCAGGATGTCCAGCCTGGAGACAGGAAAGCTCTGGGGAGAGCTCAGAGCCCCTTGCAGGGCCTAAAGGGGCTCCAGGAGAGCTGGAGAGGGACTGGGCACAAGGGGTGGAGGGACAGGACACAGGGAATGGCTTCCCACTGCCAGAGGGCAGGGATGGATGGGATATTGGGAATTAGGAATTGTTCCCTGTGAGGGTGGGCAGGCCCTGGCACAGGGTGCCCAGAGCAGCTGTGGCTGCCCCTGGATCCCTGGCAGTGCCCAAGGCCAGGCTGGACAGGGCTGGGAGCAGCCTGGGACAGTGGGAGGTGTCCCTGCCATGGCAGGGCTGGCACTGGAGGGGATTTAAGGTCTCTTCTAATATGTGTCACCTGTGGAGGGCTGGATCTCAGAGTGCATTCCTACCCTTCTTCCTGCAGTTCAGATCTTTCCTCGGGTGTTCCTTTCCTCAGGTGAGGCTTTCCTGGGTCTCTTGACAGTTCTGTCTTACTAAAAAAAATACCCCTCACCAATTCTTCTCTTCTACAAATACTCTGAAATAAACCAGATTATTTTCCTTTTCTTTTTGGGGAGAGGCAGCTTGAATGAAAACCCCGGTGAGGGAAAAAGGAGCAGGGGAGGGAATGGCTCCTGTAGTGACACCATGGCAGCGTGGCCAGTGCTGGGCCAGATCCTGGGCCTCTGACAGCAGGAAACCATCAGCACATCGAATTTCCAGCCCTGCTCCCTTGCTGGGAGCTGCCCTCCTTTAAGCAGCCCTTGGTGTAAGGGAAGCCAGCACAGGCTGTTGGAGCTGCAATATTTGATCTCAGGGATTTGATGTCTCCTCTCCCTCACACTTCCCACGGCCAGCCAGGCTGCAGAGGTGTCACTGCAGAGTCACAGTGCTCAGGTGCCCCTGGAGGGAGGGACAGAGGGACAGGGAACCTCATCCTATACAAGCAGGACGTGCTGTTTCCTCATTGTTCCCCATGGAATATCAGAGTACTGCCCTAGGAGTCAGCACTGCCTTCCCAGAGACACAGAATTGCTTGGAGCCCTGACTGTTTCCATCCTTTTGTCCTGGTATCACTCTGTCTGTGCCCAAAATGTCCTCAGCTCCTGGAAATGATGTGGAAGGGTCTGTGAGCTTCCCATCTCAGCCAGAGGGAGAGAAAAATCTAATACAGGGTGAGGCAGTTTGCTGATGAAATATTCATGTGGGCCACAAGGGAGAAGGGCCTATTATTTTTATTTTAAGGAGAGGAGAAAAGCAGGCTCTGCTGGCTGGTGTCCCCACCCCCTGCCACCCAGGGTCACCGTGACAGAGCAGCAGCAGCTCTGGGCAGCTGTGGGGAGTTCTGTGCACATCTGGTGTTTTCTGGGGCCCCCATCAAAGGGAGGAAAATGATGAAGCTGACTCCATGTTCTTAGAAGGCTAATTTATTATTTTATTATGTATATTATACTAAAGAATGCTGTACTAAACTATACTAAAATATACAGAAAGGATACAGACAGAAGGCTAAAAGATAATAATGAAAAACCCGTGACTCTCTTCAGAGAGTCCAACACAGCTGGATGGTGATTGGTCATTAAGTAAAAACAATTCACATGAAACCAATCAAACACGCACCTGTTGGTAAACAATGTCCAAACACATTCCAAAGCAGCAAAACACAGGAGAAACAAATCAGATAATTATTGTTTTCATTTTTCTCTGAGGCTTCTCAGCTTCCCAGGAGAAGAATCCTGGTGAAGGGATTTTTCCAGAAAATATGACCGTGATGCACATCCTTCCTTCAGTGCTCGCTGGGTGTGGCTGTGAAAGGCTCAGACACCTGGAGCTGTGTCCCCTGCCCCTGTCCCAGCCTCCTGTGGTCCTGGCCATTTCTGAGCCCTGGGAAGATGTGCCAGCCCTGGCTGTGCTCCTGCCCTTCCTGGTGTGTGCACCTGTGCCCAGGTGTGAGGAGTGGCTCTTCCCAAACCTGAGCTTGTGTCCTGCCGGTCCTTGGTGCTGCTCCACACGGCCAGGCAGCCCTTTGGCTTCTTCAGGGGATCCCACGCTGCTGGCTCACCCCAAAGCTTCTCCTCTCCAATGAACAATCCCAGCTGTGCCAGCCTTCCCTCCCAGCAGAGCTGCTCTATCCTCTGATCCCCTGGTGCCTCCTCTGGATCTCCCCAGCAGATTTCACACTCTGAGCCCAGGACAGGGGGCTGGAGGCCCCTCTGTTAACCTGGGAAGAATCCATGACAACTGCAGGAAATCTTTGAAGCTCCCAATGATGGAGAGGGAGTGTTCAACCTTCCCCTGGCCCCACTCCCAGTGACATGCCAGCAGGGACATTGGTCACGGCTTTCAGTGCACAAGGCTTGGCACGCACTTTGCAGCATCTCCACTCCTGATTTCCCGTCTGTAAGAGCAGAAAAAAAGAAAATTACTGCCTGCTAGCACTCTGAAATGCTCGAGGCTGCCCAGACCTCTCCGTGTCCAGAGGGGCCTTGCTGTGCCAGCTGGTGCTGGCAGCAATTCCCCCTGAGGCAAGGTTGGCAGCGAGCAGAGCTGCCCTGGCTGTGCTGGGCAGGGGTTATTGGTGGGACATTTTTGGTGTGACACACAGGCTGCAGGGCATGGATGGGCTCAGCTTCTGTGCCCTTAATTACTGAGCACCCTGCAGGGGTGGAAACCTGTCCCAGAGCAGGGGAACAACCTGCCTCCAGTTTACTCCCTTTTTATTTGTATGTGTAGATCTATGGGTAGCTACAGATGAAGAATTAACTGCTGAAAGTGGGGTTATTCTGTTCACAAAAATGCAAATAAATGCAACACATCCCTGGTTAATTCAGCCCAGTCAACCAGAACTGACAGGCACTGTTTGATTTGTGGGTGGTTTTACATTCTGAGGGGAGAATTAGTTGGTTATTTTGTTTTATCCCACTCTCTCCTATTTCCAATCAGTCTGAATGTCCTGGAATGAATGTACCAAAGCTTTCAAGCAGGCTTTGGGGAAGCAGAGCAGCTCCAGCCCTGCAGCAGGAGGCTGGAGTGATGTAACCCCACAAGCAAATCCACTGCCCCAGCTCAGCACAGCTGCAACACCTCTGGAGTCAAAGGAACATTCCCAGCCCTGCCAAGGTTCAGTTCAAGGCTGCTGGAGGCAGCTGGCATTCTTCTGTGGAATTCACAATTCTGAGAACATGAAGTCAGATTCATCATTCTCTCCCCTCGTCAGTGGCCTGCATTTACAATATTCTTCAGGCACTGGAATATCCCTGTCTGGCTGCCTCTCCCTCCAGCCCATCTGCATTCCTGGAAGGATGAGTTTGTCACTGAGTTTGAGGCTTGGTTATCCCGAGGCTGAAGGATTTGTTATGCAAAGGCCTGAAATGGAAAGCAGCACTGTGAGCTGTGTGATGGTGGAACTGAGCCTGAGCCATCCAGGGATCTGTGGGATCACCCTGGGGGATGAGCTGTGGGACAGGGGATTGGGCTCTGCCTCCCTCAGGTGCCTTTCGGCAGTGTGCTCCAGCTCCAAAGGCAGCATTCCCAGCCTGGGGCTTTGGCCACACTTCCCTGTGGACACTGGGGTTCCTCCATTCCAGCTGTGGAAGAATCTCCACCACAGGGATTTGGGGATTGGGATTTGGCAGCTGGTTTGGCTTTCCCCATCCCCTTCCAGGCAGAATCCAGGCTGCCCCGAGCTGGGCTCAGGGGCTGCTCTGGGGGAGCACGGGGGGTGCTGAGATCTGGGCCAGGTTTTCAGTGTAGACCTGAGCTAGCACTGGAGAGGGGAGGTGAGGATGAAGGGAATGTTGGGCTGAAGGAACTACTGCAGGTTCAGCCTGTGGTTGTGCAAGGTGTTAGATATTCTAGTTTCCCATGGCTGTGCTGTGTGGGCGAGGCTGTATTTCCAAAATTTAGCATTTTCCTGTTGGAATTGGTGAATGCAGTGTCTCATCAGAGCTCTGTGCCCACAGGGGGAGTCACCAGTGCTCAGGAAGTGTGAAAGGAAGGGCTTGCAATAGTGCAAAGCTCTGGGAAATGCTGCTGGAGCCAGGCCAGACAGAGCAGCAGGTGACAGCCCCCAGCCCCATCCCAGGATGTCACTGCCTGCTGGAAAGCTGGGACCTGCTTCCCATGCTCGCCTTCTGCTCCAGAGCACTTGGAGTTTTATTGTCTGTCCAGGCTTAGAGTCCTCTGGATTCGTCACAGCAGCAGCAAGAGCCATTTGTGCTGTGAATTGTCATTGATGGACTTGTGGGATTGACAGCTTATTTCATTAAAAGCACTTTGGAAACCCTCAGACAGAGAAAACTCGGAGGTGCTGCTGAGCTGGAGGAAGATGAAGTGTGCAAAGCACTCTGGCAGTGCTGGGCTGCGAGTTCTCTGAGAAGCACCATTCCATCAGCTGAATTGGTGCCTTAATGTGCTTATTGCCAGGGGAGCTAGTTATTTCTGCAAGCTTTTGGTGCAGCAGAAGAAAGAAAACATAATAAAGAGAGTGCGAGCATCTCCTCAGCTTCAGGCACTTCTGGAGCCAAAAGTAGCAGTAATTATTATTAAAAAAAATAAAATATGTGTGCTAATATTGCATGGCTTGAATGTTTGAGACACTGCTGGTGACTACTTGAGCATGAAGGATAAGAGATGCAGGAGAGAGAAGGAAGGATTTCTGTCTATTAGTCTGTAATGACATTTGCAGTGTGAATGATCCA